TGCCAGTAAAAACTTAGTATTAACCGAAGTTGGTTTTTTGATCCCATTTATGGGAGAGCAGGACTAATAAAGCATGCGAGAAACATGACTAAAAAATTACCCATAACCATGGTCGAGCAAATTTGCAGAAATTTAGAGGAAGCTTATTTCTTTATTGTTTACTTTAACCAATTTATTTGAGGAACACTTTATAAGAAACATATGCTCATATCAAGTGCATCATTTATTTTAGAAGAGATAATTTGCTTTGAAAACCTTTTTGTAGATTTAGCTAATTATCAAAGAGTGTGATAGAAAACAAGTAGCAAATAATAATGCTTCACATATTCCACTGTTAAATCTACTAAATTTGCCGTTTCATTTCTTGTCCAGAAAACTGTACAAAAACAGAGAAATTTATTTTCTGGGGGTTGCAGAGGACTGAATCTCTTTTGTAAGCCGTTTTAGAGAATTTTAAATAAGTACTATGATTTGCGAAACTGGACATCCATACGCACTTCTATGTGTGCGTGAAACAGGGCGTTAATATGATTAATCCTGGATACATACCTTCACAGGCAAAATTCTTAAAATAAAATGAGAATTTTATAAAAATAATGGAGACGAGTGTGGCTGCGAAAGATTTCAATTAAGAAAAGATAATTTTTTTATATTTTTCTCCATGGAGTACAAGTTACGATTAACGAAGGGTTTTTATGTTTTAATGAGATAAGAACAAAACATCCCCGTATTTTACATGCAAAATTCAGTAAACCACATTTCATAACCATTTTCACTAAGACGCTGGTAGTTCGATCAGGGTCCTGAAAGTGACAATCCTGATGAACGGGCTAGAACGGTGCATTTGTAACTTTTTCTATGCATAAAGTAATATAAGCCTAGTTTCTTTTAGAAAGCCCTCTAAGAACGTAGAAAGTTCTTAGGCTCTCTGAGCCCTCACACGATTTACATTAATCAATTAATGAATTTGCTAACTTTATGTAGGCAGCCCACTCGTGTTTGACATAACCAATTAATTAATTATCTCCAAAAATAAAGGAATCAGCTGTAATTTTAATGACGCATTATGTTATTTCCATTAGTCACCAAAATGAGCAACTTCTAATTTTGAATTGCTTTCTAAATTTGGTCTGAAGTGATGTTGGGAACAGGGAGGGAAAAAAGACAGTAGTTAGTAAATTCGTTCACAGATGCGAGATGAGTTAAACATCGCTATCGTTCTTACATAATGTGAAACATAACAAATGCCATTTTTAAATTAAGGTATCATATAATGATAACGATATCTAGCGTCGAGCAAAACGTCGTATGAGATAGAAAGGTGAGAAGCAAAATCGAGCTTATGTAAGTTTATTTCCTGTTGTTAAACGTTTTCTTTTTTTAGAATATTTAAACTTCTTGTGCACCACATAGTATTACAGAAGGCTTACAGAGGTAAACAAAAAATTATACACAGCACAGCGTGAAATAAAGTTACAAATTAACCGATGAAACGCAAGAAATAAATATACAGAAAGAAGACAATGCTATTTTTTATCTTAAACAAACACATGGGGAGATGGCGAAAACTTAATGTTTATAGAATTCAAATGGGAAGAAGTTCTTTTCCTTCTGTATAATTTGAACAGAAAGAAACTCCGTACTTATTTTGAAAGAAGATACTTCGGATGACGAATTCTGAGTATCTCCTGTCCCTTGCAATAGCTTACAACCTGCATTGTATCTGCAATTCCTGTGAAATCCAATAGCTTTGCATAGAATTACTCGTATTTAGCTTGGCACCAACACACAACATAGCATGCATGATATTGTACTCTATAATTGTATAATTGTGCTGTATATAGTTGTATAGTGTTATATTTTGTTTTATTCTGTTCATATAACTGTGCGCAAACTAAATCCGAACATCTAATACTCTACAAGAATTGTGTATGTATTTGTTCTGGGGGCAATGTGTATGTAAAACGTATTGTGTACCTACTTTAATTCAATAAGCAATGTGCATCTAATATATTATCTAATAAGTACCGCGCATTCTATAACATAGTGTCTCCACTACAGTTATTGCCTGCATATCATATCTGTATTATACAAACTATCTGTATTATATTTGCTCTGTATCTGGCATATATCCTGTATCCTGTATGTACCATCCTGTATATATCTTCAGTATTAAATATTATTATTTAAGTATTGAGTGTTGCGCATTATATTTTAAACACTGTATCATCCTGTATCCTGTATGTATCATCATGTATGTATCTTAAGTATCAAGTACTAAGTATCATGACTAAATAAGTGCTGCGCATTATGTTTTAATCACTGTGTCATCCTGTATACATCTCTTGTATCCTGCATGTATCATCCTGTACATATCTTAACTACTAAGTATTAAGCATCATGATTTAAGTATTAAGTGTTGCGCATTACATTTTAAGTATTATGTCACCCTGCATATATCTCCTGTATATCCTCATGTATCATCCTGTACATATTTTAAGTATTAAGCATTAAGTAATATGACATGCATCGTATTTTAAGTACTGTGTCATCCCGTACATATTCTATATCCTGTATATATCATCTTGTATATACCTACTGAGTTGAGCATTCAGTATTATGACTTAAGTATTAAGTATAGCGCATTATATTTTAAGTACTGTGTCATCCTGTACATACCTCCGCACAACGTACCGTGCACTATGTTCTGCATAATAATGTTTCAAGTATTGCGCATTGTATCAAGTATAGTATTACGTATTGTGTCATCATATTGTACTAAAGTTATAATTGTACTAATATATTATATCTTAAGTAATGCGTTTTGTAGTAAATATTGTGTAGTGTAATGTGTCCTCATAATGTACTAAATATATAGTTGTACTAATATATAATATTTTACATAATGAGCATTGTAGTAAGTAATGCACTAAACATCTATGTACTATGCATTAAGTCCCTCATTATGTACCTAAACAACTTTATTTATCCCTACGATATGTACCACGTCCTAGAGTAATTCTTAGGCGTTCAATCCTCCTTTTATATTTTATGTCTTTATGTGCTTATGTTCTTATTTTATGTGTTTAGTGTGTGTATATGTACTGTGTTCAGTGTGTGTTATGTGTTTACTTGGTTGCGTTCGTGTATGTATTTGTTTTCTATTTTGTATTTTTATGTGTAATTCACTATGTAATGTACTTTGTATGTCACCTCAACCACATATATAATCATCCAACTTATGTCAAACAATTGTCCCTGTATGGCCTTGTAAACCTTTTTTAAATCTTATATAAACTCCCGGTGCAGCCTCGTGCGGCTTCAGGCCGTTGTTGTCTCTGGATAGTGGAGGACGCGGGACATACGCCTGTTTACTCTGTTAAACACCAGGCGTCCCCGCCCTCTGTCACCTGTCACCTGTACAATTTGAACAGCAGGACAACAAATGTTTGACATTTTGCTGTCCCCAAAGCTACAGGAATACATGTACGTATCAGAGAGTCCAAATCTCTTGAGATATGACTTGAAATTACCGCGCCTAGTTAAAATTTATTAATTTCAACATTGCCAAAAAATGTTTATTAATGAGCCTTTGAAGAACAAAAAAGAACTTAGTCAAAGAAGCAGTAGAAGAATTCCTGTACAATTCATTCCACCTGAGAGTAACTTTACTCCAAATCTGTTTCTTGAGAATGATTTAGCCGGTGACACTGAGGTATTAACTTGAAGTTTTGCAGCTTGTTTTACCAACCAGTCAGCCCTTTCATTTCCTAGATTGCCAGTCTAGTTACAACTTAACTAACAATGATACTGGAAAACACTGCATTCATTTAGAGTTTTAAAGAGTTTGTATTCCAAATCAGAAACACGATGAAAAACGACATAAGTTAGTCCAACTGGATTATTAAATATACTGCTATCCATAAAACACCCTACTGTAAAATTATTTTCAACAGAGTTGCCGTAAATTACAGTTTGAAACATTATTAGTTTGTTACTACTATAAACCTAATCTGCATATGGTTCTCTTGAGATTAAATTAAGATGTTCTCCGTCACTATTTTCCGGTCGCACAGTCCGATGCTCTAGTTTTACCCCTCAAATTTTGTAGCATTCTTGCTTTTGATGTTTGATTTACAGTTTACTACTACCACTCACTACTGTGGCGGTTGCTAAGCCTTGTTTTATTGTGTAGAAGAGATATGGTGAGGGAAAAAACTCTGATTTATAAAGGGCTGCTAGAAAGTGAAAACTTTCATTCCTGAGATTCAGGATAACGCTGAAAGGAATTAAATGTTTAGTTTTTTCGAAGCACTAGTTGAATTACAGAACAACTTATTGGCTACTACTGACTGGCTCAGGTGCCAGTGGGTCCAACTCGCTGAACTGTTATCTTTAGTCTGGCATTATGTGATATGAATTGGCTTTCCTTGGCTGTTTCTTTCAAGCATTATTCTACACTAAACTATGATATTAAAATATACAAATTAAGTAAGACTTTATTTTTGCACACCATATTAGATGTTTCCGAGATCGAAATCTTGTCCCTTACTAAATACCTTTTTCCATTTGTCTCCTATTTTCTTCCCATTTTCTTGATTTTCTATTGGAGGGATCTATCTGTATGGATTACAACATCAGGTACCCAAAACTCGGCATATTTAAGATCAACACTAACGTATCAGCATACATATCCTGATAAGCAGACTTTATTTTTGCACACCATATTAGATGTTTCCGAGATCGAAATCTTGTCCCTTACTAAATACCTTTTTCCATTTGTCTCCTATTTTCTTCCCATTTTCTTGATTTTCTATTGGAGGGATCTATCTGTATGGATTACAACATCAGGTACCCAAAACTCGGCATATTTAAGATCAACACTAACGTATCAGCATACATATCCTGATAAGCAGCATTGACGTGCAACCTACTTTAATAAGTTCGATATATTTGGAAACACAAGGATAAATGAACGTATATAATTTAAAAAGATAACATTAATACTAAAAAATAATTTTTATTCATAGAACATGACAAGTTTTATAGGCACATAAAATTATACATATCACTTTCGAGAATGTAATGCTGAATGATTGCGCATTATGAATGAGGTATTTACTGTTGTAGCAGGTTTGCTTTCTAATAGTTTCGAACAATTATTTAGATTTTATAATAGTTTAGTTAATAATTAACAGCAAAAAGAGTAGAACTTATTAGATTTATAAAATTTGAGAGTTTTAAGAACAGATAAGTTTTGAACAGTGATTAAGTATAGGGACAATCTGATGTAGTATCTTGATTCATCCATGGTACATGAGCAAAATCGTGACATCTGGGATCTCCCATTGAATCCCTTTCAGTGCTGAGAGGTGTAGTAGCAGTTGCATTATATTTATCTATTATTTCCAACATAGATTTTACAATCTGAAATAAATAAAATATAATTATAATATTAATTAGTGAAAAGAAAAGACAAATTGAATGGAGACTAAATTAAAAATTAACAGCTTTCATGTCAAACATTTGAGTTGTAGAGTTCCTCATTCATTTTGGCTAAAGTAAACGTTGAGGAACCTAGTGAATTGTTAAGCGACTTACCGCCGAGTACAAATAACTAAAGTCATAGATTCAAGAAGGGGTAATTACCCTTTATTTAACTCAAAATAAGATGAAAAGTTGGCCTCTTTCTCGGGCTTACAACAAAGCCTCCACTTGCGCTTATACTCAGAATTAGAAATAAGAATTAAATTAGAACTAACTAGGAGACTTAGCAGAAGCTGAACACAAGTATCTAACGTAGTTGTACCTTAATTTAAACTATTCGGCGAATATCAAAAGGCACGTAATATATGGCCAAGCGTAACAGCTTTAACAGAGATTTAGTCCGAAGGCAAACACGCGCTACTCAGGATCCCTAGCTCTCTCTCACGAAGTAAGTTGAACCTTCCTTATACACTACTTTAACTCATTTTTGCATTCAACGCAATTCTCAAAATTCATCCTGGTAGGGAGATGTAAGGGGAAACAAGAATTGATAGGAAAGCACTTTAAAATTAAAATAACAGCTATAAAATTAAAATATACCTTATAGAGTGAGTAATTAATAATTAATTTACAAAATTTAGAAGTGGCGAAAATATTTTAAATCTCTTATTTTCCATGTATTTTATGTATTAAATAATTTTTACAATTTGAATAGTATTAATTATTGTCACATTTAAATATTGCATTTGATTACCCCGAAAAATTATCTTTAAGTGTCACAATTTCAAAATATATATTAGCACAGAATATTTTAACATTATGAAATTAATTTTAAGTGCTGCACAAAACACTAATATTGATATTTTATAATAGTATGAAATCCAAAATTCAACAAAAAACTATCGTGCAACATTTTCTGGTCTTGATAGGATATCATTAAATGATATCTTACGAATCGTTTAAGAATACCATTTATAAAATATGGCTTCCTGATTTAGCCGAATTTTTTTGAAAAATTTTAAGATATTGGTAATGATATCTGTCATTATCTGTCATGCTGTAATTTGCTTTGACTGAAATCTAATACAGAAATTTTCAGAAGTCAAAATAGGCTCATTCCGAAATTATCCATACAGGTTTTGATTCTGATGTACTCTATCTTTTGAATTGAGTATATTATAAGCAGAAACGTTTTTCGTTCAGGAAAATCCTAAATAAAAATATTTAAAATTATAAAACTATTTTTATATATTTTTCGGAAATAATTAAAAAAATAGGCAGAAGTTACTTTTGACAAATAGTTTGCTTTTTTAAATAATTTTTAATTCATTATTTTCATAAAAAAAGATGTATTTACCCTAGGATATTGAAGAGCTAAATTATTGTACTCGCATGGATCTGCAGCTACATTGAAAAGGCATGGAGAGATATTTAGATCGCAACTTCCATTATCTGTTGGTGGTGGTTGTTTACACTTTACAGCAACGTTAATCCTCCAAGAATCAGGAGTTTTTACTAACCACATATCTTCTTCTTCAAGAATTTGTTTCACTATACTGTCGTTCTTGAACACCAAATCATCTAATGAAGAAGGTTGTTCAATATCTTCAAAGCCAGACGGTCCATACCACAAATCTTTGCCTCCAGGTGCCGTTCTTTTAATGAGCTTATAATCACCTCGTCTAAGGCATGCCATTCCACTTATGGGATCTATGTTATGCAAAATTTCAAGTCTTGGGGATGGGGCATTTTGTATCAAGGCCTTCCACATGCTATAGCCGTCAATTTTCCCTAATTGTCTTGCTTCTCCACCTTGAAAATTAAAAAATATATATTATGATAGTTTGAATATGTATATCAAACAGATATGTGTGCAATGATTGTATTTAAAACGAATTAGCTGAGTTATGATATATTTGTATTACTTTCAGTTTCACGCTGTTTATTACTTTCCATATCCGCCAAAATAATTTTGAGAATAATTGGAATGCATAACTTAGGTTAATTCATTAAGGAAAAGCAGGCTCTGGCCTGCGTAGTTAGAGGAGGGATGACAGAGGTTTAAGAATGGACGTATTCACGTTGCACAGGCAAAACTGCGAACCCCAACGCAGAGCAGCCCGTTCCCGGGATTGATCCTAGGTCAACCCGGGTCATGGCTTTACAGCTCGTGCTATGAGCCTGAAATGCGAATATTCCTTTTAACGTGGTGATGTTGTTAAAGATTTCAAGTGATTTCTTACACTTTATTACAAAGTCAGCGAAAGAATCTGGGTCAGAAAGGCTAGAAAACTTCCGTTTTAATTTAAAGGCAGTTAGGTTCCCATGCCACAATATGATCTTTTAAAGTAATTAATAGACTTTCGTAACCTGACTCCATCTAAAAGACTCAAAAAAAAAAAAAAAAAAAAAAAAAAAAAAAAAAAAAAAAACGTGAATGATTCGATAATCCTTCCAACGACAAGAGGCAATTAAAAAAGACAGCTTTGAGTCCTTCAACCATATTCAGGAGAGGTTAAAGATGAACTCAATTAGGAACGCATTTTATTTTATGGGCCCGTCTGGGGACGCCTGAATGGGCGCTTTTAAAATTTCTCATTACAAAGGGGCAGAGCCATGGGCATTTGTATAATTCATTGGCCAAAACACGGGTTAAAGAAGGAAGGTAAGGGAACCGCGGCGGCGCCTCTCTAAAGAGAAAGGCTTTCCGATGGGGAATGGAATAATTAAGTTTCATGGCTCTGCTCACGAAGAATATACTATAACAATTTTAAACACATTTTAGTCACATTAGTATGGAACTACATTGCCACAGGCGTAAGCACGGCAAACATCCCCGAGCGAAATGAAACTTCCCTGCACTGTTGTATAGAGTTGGAAGCCAGTCAGATACATGCATGGTTTTTTAAGTTCTAGATTCTTTAAGTCCTAAAAGAGGACTCCATATAAACGGCTGCACGCGATAGCTCCTTCCCAAGAGCTACCGACCAGGGAGGCCATTTGACCACCTCTCCTTCACACCTCCGCCCCAACGCGTTTTCGTCGATGTAAATGATATAAATTTTTAAAAGTCTCTCTATCGGCTCAACAAGCGTCTCTACTGACTGATCTAGAGCTGTGACAACTCCTTAAAATAATGAAAGAATCGGAAATAAGTTTTAATTTTTTTAAAAAAATCATACTACAAAACTATACATAAAATTCCCCTTTTGCGATAATGTATCAGAAATTAGAATTAGGATAAAACAATTAAAAGATAGGCATTAACCATAGCGGTCAAGTCCGAAGAAATAATTTCGTTTAAAGATATATTCCATAATTACAGATCCATGCAACGGCTCAGGGTTTTGCTTTGTTTCAGAAAACATTTGATGCATTATTAAATTATATGAAAAGACTTTGATTATAAGAATATAATTGAAATAAATCGCTAAAATTTAACTAAAAACACTTTGAAAGCTATTTCGAGGGTTTTTAAACAACTAACTGGGGAAAATTAATAGGAATTTGGAAAAATTAATATTTTAAAAAAAGTATTCGTTAAAAGTAATGCGTTTCGAAAGAAAACATTCCGAATAAAGAAATTCCCAAGAAAGTTACTTAAGCTCGGTTCTTAAGTTTAAGAACACTAATTTTTTTGAAGCATTAGTTAACTCTCTTTCTAAAATACATTGACCAATTTTCTATTGAAGAATTACTGTTCGCCTTACCCATCCAAAAGCGATTCAACTTTATTTCAAATTTTCAATTGTTTGTGAACACAACCTGGTTTGCTTTTAAAAAACAGAGAGAGTGGTTTTGCTCGAAAAAAGGAAATCTTGTCTGGAACCAACTTTGAAACAAACTTTATAACTAGTACAATTTACGGTTGGCCACCAAAAATATTTCCATTGGCTTAAGGGAAATTAATGAAATATAATACTAGCTCCACCAGTTAAGGTATTTAGAAGTTTACTCTCTCGACTAAAGAATTTATCTTGTGTGCAAAAATAAACAGTTAATGTAATTATCTGCAAGCACTCAACACAAAGAAAAGCGATACGACATGAAAAAAGGGAGAGACGAAGCCACGTAGCTACGGGAAACACGCGGGGGCACACGGTTGAACAGATAGGGGTGGGGTCACAAAGTCAAGAGGATGGAATCAGATATGGATGAAAAGGAAACACCAGATCAATATTTTTTGCACCCGCTACAACTGACCTAACTGTATAGGCGGGGAGTCGAGGACGGGCGAGGCATCTTAAGCCATGTGGGGGGCCACAGCTCTGGTGACGCAGCCACAACCTTCATTGGGACTGAGGGGTGAACAAGAATGGACCCGTTTCTTTTTTGTCATATCTCAAGCCACTTCTAGCGGAAACGGGGGATGACAGGTACGGAGGAGATGTATGCTTATTAAAAATATGGGGAAGCAAACAGAAACACATCTTGAAAAATATTAGTAATGGTCTGTGAAAAGAGTAGAACTTCAGGATTTAAAGACCTTTCTAAGGTAAACCTGACTATCTATATTACTTACATGAAATGCATGTAAGGCAATAATAATAAACTGAAACGTCAGGTATGGCAAAGTATTAATTTTGAAGTAACAGCGGAGATACTGGAAAAGCATTTTTTTTTCCCTTTTCTGTGAGTAAGGATCCTCTGTCACGCATACACGTAATTAAACCCGAATAAAAAGTGACGCTCGGCAAAGGCCCAGCTTGGCTTTGGCATTTTAAAATCAAGCGAGGTCATCACAATACATGAAGAGCTACGAGTCCTGGCTATACCAATCAACAGCAAACAATGCTTGCAGACAATATCCTGAACGTGAGCTCGCTTGTTATTGTACCATTGGTGATGCCATCTGTATTTTGCCGCACTTCTGCATGTGACAAGAGGGTTGTTACTTTCCCCTGTTTATTTTTCGAGCTCTAGACACCCCCGGATGATAAGTAGAATAATATTTAGACTCATTTTCGCCATTTTATACGCATGACTATAACAGCATATTGACTACTGCACGCGTCTATATCATGACCGACAAAGCGCGTCTGTCTCCATTGATATTCCCTTTTAAGGCTATCAGTCGACGCAACTTTCTTTTTTCGCTGCACAGGATCATATTACGACTACACACACAAATGGATAAGGCCCGGAAAGGAGTTGTTTTTCTTAGTTTTACAGTGTAGGGGCCCTTGCTACAGCAGCTATTCGAGGGGCTTAGCTAAAATTGGGAGAAATCTTATGATTACGAATTATCATCATGGCTCGCCCAGAAGCATGTAAGGGGCCAGCTAATTGTTTTCTTTTGTGATCTATTGAAGAGGGGAGTACTTAGAGGGTGAATATAGGTAAAAAATTCTGATGGGGACACCACAGACTTCCCTTGTACGTCTATTATACTAATACATTCTGTCGGCAGGCATTAAACATAGTCGCGAAGTTCTAAGTCATAAACATCAAGGCAGGGAAAATGACAAAAAATTCAAAGGTGAAACGTTGAAATTAACAACGTTCATTTTCGTACGGGAGTCAAAATTCGGAATTAGTTTTCAAAGAGTATAAAACTCGCTATAAGGCTAAGAACCGAGAGATCACATTAAATGGGGTTATCTGTCGAAATTGATTTTTTGAAATTTCACTTTGCCAAAATGAAGGGGAGGCATTTCAAACACTTCGTAACTGAATACATGACTACACCAACACTGCGGAAAAAAGGCTTCTAAGGGAGAATGGTATACACACTCACATACACATGGGGTACAGCCGATCTCATAAAAAGGGGATGCATAACTAGATGGTAAGAGTGCATATCCACGGGCAAGGCGACTACGTTGAGGGACCACCGAGTAGTCAGAAGGGGCCGGGAAGTTCTTTAGGGGTGATAATCACACATTGTGTGATGAGCCTAGAGGGCGAAAAAAATGCTTATCGGTGACAACGGGGGGGGGACCGCCTGGAGTGGTTTGCCGCGGAGGGGGGGTGCGGGAAAAATACCTAGAGAGTCAATCTTGAGTCTCATCTTAGTTTGTGAAATATTTAAGAGAAGGTTGCGACAGGGAGAGCAGAACAGCGCAGCCACAAGAAAAGGGAAGAGGGGGGGGGACCAAGTAGTTTTTCGTTTCCGACCATTAACAAAGCCAAAAACTTAAACAGATATTCGATTATTCTTAGACGTAAACTTGAACAAAGTTTATTTTAACGACGACAAAGACCCCTCATATATTCAAAAAAATGTGTTAAAGAAATAATCTAAACGAAATATTTAAAAAAATAAAGATATGAAGTTTTCGACGACGGCAGAGCTGAAAAAAAAACTACGGGCGGCTTTTTGACTGAAGTGCAATGTCAAAAAATATACGATCAGAAAAAAACAAACGGAACGCCCATCATCCTGAGATTCCATCGGATTTATCGCGAGGGAATACAAGGGCAAAATGAGAGGCAATGGATTTTAGACAATAGGATCCTTCAAGAGATGCATCGCAAGAGCGCAAATTCTCCATTTCCATTACAATAAGCAAAAGAGCTAAAGAGCAGCGCAGTCATCGCGAACAGGAGCACTTTTTTCAAAAAAGCAATATAAGTATACGATAAACACGAAAAGGGGAACCTTATTTAACAGAGAAAGATGGGGGGCGCATATCAAAAGAATATATCGATTAAATCCGGCAAAAAATAAATTCCACGTGAAACTAAAGCAAAAGTAAAAGCACTTGAAAACAAAAAAAAATAAAGTTATACAAACCGAAGAAGAAAATAAATTGCACGGGATCTAGGGTATGACTGTAGGATCTTTAGGATAATCCTTAATAGTAAAAAAAGGCGATTTTGAAAGGGTTTATGAGAGCCGAAAATTCAGGCGATTGCATTATTTAAATAACAGGCTACAATTCAAAAGAATGAACATATAAATATTCTGGTATGTCATTCGTCGCGAGATAACTAAAACAATTAGGCAGCAAGAAAAAAAAAGTAATAAAATGGATTTATCTTGCAACGCAGTGAGCCAGTTTTTTAGACAAAATACGGTAAAACTCTCCAATCTATAGGTTATACGGTCCTTTTGGATTATCTGTTTTTTCTGGTTTATATTCAGGGGCCTATTTGTATTTGTGGCAATTTTTTACTCCAATAGTGTAGTGAGTGGAAGAGATCGTATTCGGCTCCATGTCTAGGCTTACTAAAACTAACTCTCGACGTGGGCATATTCACCATGTGGTATACCTATGTATTAAATATCTAGTAAGGCCTAAAACCCTCTGTTAAAGTGTATAACAGCTATATATCCTCCAATTAATAGGGGTAAGTCAATGGCAACCATCGGGTAAATTTCCAAAAAATGCATAAATTTTTTTTCATGGGTCTTTCTTATAACACTCGAAAAGAGCTTCGGCTCACAGTTTTAGTATATACCTCTGAAGAACTTAAAGTACAGCTTTTGGGGGGAAGGAATTTGGGGGTACATCTTCTAACTGATACAGCTCGCTGATATTTATAAAAATGTCTGGGTCCATATGGGCACTGAACATATAGAGGTAGGCACTAGAAAGTTTGAAAAAAATGGCAATTACGCTTTCCAGCATTGTTCTTGATTGTAACTCCATTTTGAAGTTTGTTCAAAAACATCATTAGTGAGCGACGTTGACCCCTCCATCAATATAGGTTTGTTTTTCCCTTCAATTTTCTAACTCTGTGATGGGGCTTCTGAATACGCTATGCTTCATATTTGGTGATACCCTTATCGTCACGGTCACAAAGCCTCAAAAACATCTCCGCCATGAGAAGCATTTTATTTACACATGGGAATTGCTTTTTAATATTATCTCTTTTCCTTCGCAACACGTTTCAAAAATTTATTCTTTACGGCATTTGGTTTACAAACACGGCTTCGATTGTTTTATATCACCCTTTTTAACTTAACTCGAATGTGATTAAAAATATCAAAGACTAAGATAAATCTAATTGGCAGAATGCAATGTGTCGACTAAATCAAACTCATGCTAGGGACATAACACTTTCTCATAAACAAAAAAAACTGGCATTTATTAGAAATAATTCATGTTGCGGCTGCACAGAAACCAGATAAGAGCGATTAATGCCTCGCTTTAAAGTCTTTACGGAATTTCAAAGGTGACAAATTATTTGTGTCCATTGCTAGCTCTTTTCAACCCTTTGAATGCGCACTTTCGGTGATTTAAATGCCCATTTCCGGTTTTTGATTTTTTATGAAATCCTTAATATCTCTGTTTCTAATTAACGTAGAAACAAAAGCAGACCAGTTTTGGAAAGCTAAATAAACAGTCTATCCAATGAACGAATATTGCCAAAATTGACCTTTTCAACGTGTTCGGAAAGTTACCAGGAAAACTCGTCATGTACTCCACTGAACTGCTGATGATATGCCTCACAAAGCTAATGTGAGGACTAAATTAGATTATTTAATTTTGGAAGAACACATTAAGCGAGCCCATTCAGGGAATGGAATTTAAAGGTTTTGCGTTATCATTTCGATGGGACTTAAGGTTCGAGAGATTTTGAATATTTTCCTTCCACGAAGGTATTTGAGAATTCTCAAACATCTTTATCCTATGCGGGATTCGAATTCAAGTTCCTCAGCAGGCAGTCAGCTTCCACTTAAGGGGGCATTAACGTGAGGATGATGGCCCCCTAGTGGAAGCTGACTGCTATCACTTACAATATTGCAGTAAATTTATTTTTGCTTTTAAAGCAAATTAATGTGTTTTATAATATCTAAAAATGTTTCGAACAATTCTTTAAATTAAATGTTAAATGTAAATTAATTATATCATGGGAAAATTAACATAATAAATTAACATTTTATTTGGTGATATTTACTTAAACAGGGAAATTTAAGATTCCGACACAGATTTTGTCATATAGTGCTTAATTGATTCTTCAAGCCATAGATAACTGAACAGGCTTTTTAGATGATTATCCATAATGACAAGTAATAAATGGTTAAATTTTAGCTGAGTTTAACTAATTCAGCCTGACAACAAGACAAGCCATAGGCAGAATGATACAAGTAATCGTTAAATGTTAGTTTGAAGTAGCTCTGGTTTATGAAAGATTAGATTCCTCATTCAGTTCATTTAATTTTGTAGTTCATTTAGATTCGTAGTAGATCTGAAAAGGAAACAGTATCCTCGAAATTCATGCATTCATGACTAATATTAAGGTAAGTATTAAAGCACTTAAGTAATGGAAAATTAATGAAAGAAATGTAAAAATCACTGTACAGTTCTTTGCATGTCGTAACTCATTCTTTTGTGCAACAGATACCTTTGTATTTCGTGATTGTTTATTTTATATAGGATACCGATCTACAAAAACTGCATTTTCTATACTCTTAAAATCTGTGCGCTTCCGCTTCTTTGTTTGTTTATAACATCATCTTCTCTGAAACGGCTGGGAGTTTGAGTTTCGAAAGAGGCATGCCCGGATTCAAAAAATTCATGGGAAACCATTTCGACCATTCTCATCTTCGTACGACATTTTATCAGCCGAGATATTAATTAAAAACTGTGAAAACGCTAATTTTCGCTCGCTGCATATTGTTTAGTGAATCAAGCCAAAATAAAGCTGAAACAATTTCAGATTTTTGCAAGATTAAGATGAACTGAAGCCAAGATGAAGCTAAAATGAATATGAAGCTAAAATTTAGTTTGAGAATATAAAAATTATTTCATTCATATTAAAAAATAATTTTCTTCAGCTGCACATAGAATTGACTTCATTCATATCGAAATTTTTATACATTTCCTTTTCAGGTTACATAGAACTAATAAATTTTGTTTTGGCCGCAGCCCGCTGTTATATGATAGTAATAATCTCAAGGCTATCCATACAAATTCAGTCTTCTTCTTTATAGGCTCAAATGCTGCAAACAAAATTATGTAACAGCGATCATGTATAATCTAAACTTTGTAATTATATGCAATTAGTGTTTTCGAATTACTCAATATCATTGGAACTAATTAGCGTTAACGAAACATATGTAATTTCAGAGACGGATATATTTATATTTGTTTTTAAATCAGCAGTGCAAGAATTATGACGGTTTATAAGAAGTACGGTAAAAATTATAAAGCATTAAAATAATAGTAAAACATTTTTTCACGCTTTAATCTCCTGGTTTAGAAATCTGTCAATAGTCAGCTTCTTTGCATAAATTCCAAAGCAGTTACGAACCACCCAAATACTTATTTTAGTTCTTAAAGTGATACGTTTTTACGATTACCATTATCTTTCACAAGGCAATGCTGAGATCACAAGAATATTTCATAAGGCAATGCTGAGATCCCAAGAATATAGAATGGTGTCCCGCAATGCTAGGTTCCTAAGAAATTTTATTAGAGCTTTCTACAATTGATTTTTATGATTATCAACTTTTGATCTCAAAAGCTTAACCAAAGCCTGATCTATAACTTATTAAACCACTATTTATAATTTATTAAACCACTAGACTAATGTGTTGTTTATGTCAATCCATAATGCAAGTTAACGAATTAGAATTCAGTATTATTTTTGGAGGCCAACTTGCCATTAAAATATCCTGCAATCGAATATGAAATTCATACCGATTATCTATTGTATGTAGTTTATATCAAAGCTGTGTAATTTTTTAAAGACAATGACGGTTTTGTTAAATTAGTTTATTACTGAAGCTTTTCTTTTTTTTGGGAAATCATATTTCTTTGTCCCAAACCTTCTTTAATACATGATATCCATAAATTTCTCTGGGCAGGTTTTTAAGTGCTTTTGTTTCCCGTTTCACTAAGCTTATCTGAGTTACATATTAGCATACGAGTATAACCGCTACGAGTTTCGATAACAATGCTTTGGGAAATGATCAAGCCCAAAACATTCTAATGTGTGATGATAAACAATGTAAGGTTAACTCTGATACCTAACCCAGAACTTTCCATCTAAAGCAGGAACAATAAGTACTACTATAATATTCAATATGCGATGAGTAAAAAACCTCTCTTTCATTTTTGCGATTCAAGGTGGATGTTGCACATATCAAAATAGTTATTAAGCACTACAAGTATACAGAATAAACAACACAATATTTTCCTTGCCTAATTATTGTGTACAGTCATTATGTGTATCGATGCAGGAGACGTAGGTGAAAATGTCAGTGCCCTCGCCGGGATTCGAACTCCGAACATCCCGATTGCTCGTTACCCTATCCAGTTGCATCAATAAGGCACGCAGAAAGGAGGGAGAAAATGCCTTATAACTTCAATTACAAACATCTAGAAAACTCGTAGAACAACTGGTGCGAAAACTATATATTTGAAAGGACACGCTATTAAATTTTTATTAAGAAGTATTTTGGAAAGTTTCGAGTTTTGGAATCTTCTTTTACATTTTACCTAACGGACAAGTATAATTTTGCATTAATGTTAAAAAGTAAATTGAAAAGGAATAGTTAATCAGTGATTGTAAAATAAATAATCTATAATCAACTAATATACTTTGTTAAAGTTAGAAAACTGCAATGTATGAGGCATAATTATCTTACATTTTATATATCACTCAGATCTGTAGTACTAAGAAAGAACAACTTACGTTTGTACTGTTATGGTTAGCTATAACGTCTACTGCCCTTTCAGTGAAAATATCTGTAGCATAACGTCCTCGAAAATCTTTAATAACAGTCGATCCATTTTGTAGGTCTACCCCATAAAATGCCTATAAAAATGTTCACTGATAACTAATGAAGAAAGGGAACTTTAATTTAAAAAAAAACTTTATTTTAGAGTGACAAAACAAAATGAAAGAGTTTAACATTTCAGGATGACGTTGCTTGTAAATAAACAATTTTGCTGATTTATAAAATAAAGAGAAAAAATTACTTATTATAGTACTAAAAAGGCAGTTTGTATAAAATAATTTTAAAAAGCTTTAGTAATAAAAAGAAAGGCAAATGATGAATTTTTTTAACGAGGAAAATCTAATTTGTTTTTAAATCAGTATACTATTAAAACAAATTCTGAATTATTTGTATTAAATGTAGTACAGAAGACTAAATGCTTCACATTTCGTCAAATATTAACAAGATTAGGAAGTGAAATATCCTTCCAACATAAATCAATTCTATGCAGCATTTCCAACATTAAAAGTTTTAACCTAACACAGAAAATAGTAAAACTAGTTTGCTTTACATCAAATTATTTTCATAAAGGCAAAAATTCATATCAATTTTTGTATGAGGGATGTTTAAATATAAGCAAAAATTTTCATGTTCTGTTCTTGTGAATAATTTAATGTAATCTTGGTGCATTGAGCAAACGTGTATATGTTTGAATTTATCAATATTAGTGCTAGTTTCCTTCTCCATATTCCGTGTTGGATATAATCAACACTTCTATGCAGGAGCTTCACAAGAGAATTACGCAATGAATCGTCATTAGATTTTTTATTAGCGAAGGTTCAGTTGAATAGCGTTTTTCAGTTCCAAATTTATTCGAGATTTAAAAATCAGATTGGAGGTCTAGCAATATGGAATGCATGGTTGCTGTTGGTCTTTTAAAGAAAGATAGTTAAGAACTGAAGATTAACTACAGGCCCTTTTAGTAAAACAAGCTGACTCTATATAGAGAAGTTTTACTGACGCGCTAATTTGGCAGATCGGAGGGGGGAAGAATCGCTGTCAGAGAAACCCATAAGGAATTTAAAACAAGTGTTGGCAACTTGGAAACATTTTAAAAATCATCTTAAACCCATACAGAAGAACGCTAGGTGGATTCTCCATATTTTGAAGCTTCTATGCTCAATACAGAAAAATAAAATTGGTTGCAGCCGCACAATACAAATGGTATGTGTACCTCACCACTCAAATAACGCAGATTTAGTACCATCAGACGTTCAAATTTTCGGTCCATTTAAAGAATTTTTGGGAGGTAAAATATTTATACCTAACGAGCATCGTCCAAGAATGGGTCAACGTGCAGTCAAAATACTTTTTATTCTTCTGGAATTAAGAAACTTACGAGGCACTGGAACAAGTGTATTGCAGTGGCGGTTGACTACATAAGAACAGTGTGTAAGTCATTTCATTGTATTCACTAAGTAAAGTTTATCTGGTAAATTTCTATTTATATTCGAAAGTCTCTCGCATTGTTCTTCAATTAGCAGCTTTTGCATTTTTAATTAGTTTTAATTTAATAAGCATACGCTTTTCAGTTACAGCTGAAAATACGCTTATCTAATAATTTTTAATTTACGTTTAGGTCATGAAGAGTTTAACAAAATCTATTAAAATTTTCAGTACGTTTAAAAGAAAAAAAGTAACACTTCTTATCTAATCAAAAGTTTTCTTATAACATGCAAAATAATGTACACTTACCAAACTTGTAGGACCTTCAGATGCCTCATAATTAGTGTAATCATAGTAATCAATATGGTCATTGTAAAAGCCAAAAAATGAATCAAATCCTCTATACAAAGGCGTGTATTCGTTTTTTGCATATCCTAAATGCCACTGAAAAACAAGAATGAATTTGTTTCGTTATTAAAGTTTAATCTCTTCCTTCCCGAAAAACTGTGGATTATATATATCTATATCTATATCTATATATATTATTGCCTATTATACATATTATTGTCTTACATATTACTGCCTGTAATTGCCTATATTCATATATATAAGGAAATAGAATTTATTAATAAAAAGTTTTAGAGCCATTTTTTGTCAAAACTCTTAAAGGTACAATTAATCAGAAATGAGTGCAAAATGCTGCTTGTTCGATATTTCCGTAGGTTTTAATGTCAAATACCAGATTATCTTATTATTTTATTTGTACTTTCCTTTCTACTTTCATCGACTCTCTCTCCAGAGTGCAAATTAGTTAATGTATTTAAGCTCAGAGTTCTTGGGCACGAGAGAGAGCCTTTAAGCTATCGCTGACCGTATCTTCTCTCTGCTATTAACTTACTTAAATCGGTATTGTTACTGTTTATTACTCCATGACTACGGATTTAAGAAGTAGTGAACCTCGTGCCCCAACTCTGAGACCGGGAACTCTGAGAAATAATTATTAGGAAATATATATGTTCTTCCAGGATTTATCATGAAACAGAGTAATTATTCTTACCTTTCCTATCATATGAGTCTCATATCCTAGATTTTTGAAATGCTCAGGCATAATCATTACATCTAAAGGAAGACCAATGGGCTCTCCACTTTTAATTTCGGAGTGATGAAGACCTGAAAAGATATTAATGACTTAGATCTAAAAATTAAGTACATTATACATAGCTCTGCCCAAGAGAAGAAGGAGCATTTTTATGAACATTTTCTTTTCTTCCCTCAAGCTTTTACCAAAAATTATTAACACTTACACACTATTTGTAAATAGTAAGCATAGAAAAGCAGAATAAAGCAGTTTTCTTTCAGATCTCAAAAGAGTGAGCCTTTTGATGCTGAAATAACACGGATGCGTGGAATTGTTCACATGTATTATTATATTCACATGACTATTATAGTACACTGAATATCTTACAGCCAGAGGAAGGGGAGTATTACTTCACTGCTGAAAAGTATATTTAAAAAGATATTTGAAATACTATATTTTTAACAGAACTGCACTGGTCGCCATTAAAATTGCTACTTCATTAAAAAAATAATTACCAGAACCACATTTATATTACAAATGCATTATAACGAAAATATGAAATCACTGAAATTTAAGGAAAATTTGAAGTTCAGAACATACAGAAATCAGTATCTCAAGCATCTGCCTTTGGCAACAATAGCAGCTGTAATACGGCTGGATATGGAGTCGAACAGACTTTGAATGGTAGTTATGGATGTTGCAGTCTAAGCGATTTTAGTTCAACTCCAAGAATTCATCTCTCATCTGTTGTTAGCTGTTCTTAATATTTTCAAAGCATTTTTTTCTCATTATTGAACTGAAAGTGTTTAAGAAATTGAGGTTATGAAGAATGTGTAGTGTTTAAAAATAAAATATAGGCAGAGACATAAATCTGTTTAAGTTCAGGCTCACTTCTCACGTTGCAATTCAATAAAGTATTTTAAAAGGAAAATAATATTTATTATTGCTCAGTATACGATTATAAATAATCGATGTCAAAAATAATTTTTTTTGTCATTAGCAAGTGCAAAAAATGGAGGCCTAAATAAAAACGAGTAAATACTTCACGATAATTTGCTATTAATAATTAAAAAGTGTTGTAAAAATTATAAAATGCTATGAATAATTATAAAGGTATTATTTAATACTGACTTTCTATACGATTTATCTAGCCATATACAAGTTAAACACACCAGAAAGTTATAGAAACCAGAATGATATATTATAAAATGGAAACTAAATAGAGATATGTACGCGGATGTTTGAAAGGTGTGTTGTTACTAATAGTTTTGCTCATTTTTATGATTAGAAGAAAATGCTTTCAAATTTTAAAATGGTCATACCAGGAGACTTGTAAGATAGCAAAGGTACCGTGGTGTTAAAGAAAGATTTATACAAAAATAGTATAATAAAATCCTGATTTCAATTTGGATATTTACATTATATTATTTTGTTCGCAAAAGTGATAGCTCAAACACTTCGCTCTTTTGCGTGTATTACTGTTGAGCATTGTTTTAAACATGCATACTTTTAATCGGTGGTTGTTTAAACATTAATACGCCTTTCAACTTGAATCAGAAATGGTCACATGTCCTTCAACAAAATTTACTTCTGATCAATATCGAATTTATGAGACAGACACATATATTTTTAAATCTATTTTTAATATTGAGCGCTGATGAACATTCCGATTCTCGTGAGAGGAACAAATAACTTTTTGGAATTAAAGATAGGAACATTTGGCTTTTCTCTCAAAATAACACCATATTTTTCATGTATTAAAAATAAAAATTTTGTCATAGATTTTAGTTTTAGGTAACTTTTCAAACTACGTCACAATAAGCAGCTCTATTAACGGTACATTTATGTATGAAATAGATATTTTCAAAGTTTTCTTTACCGAAGTGAACCATTTCGCAAACTGGCAACAGCAATTACTAATAAAAAGAGAGAGGATAAAAAGAATAAAATTAAGAATAAAAAACAATTAAGGAAATGCTAAGTGAAAGAATGTAAAAAATTGTCCAGATTTTGACAGAATAATGCAAAATATTTCATTGACTATTCGAAGGAACAATATTTTATTCTCAATCTACTTTTTCAAGAATGCCTGATTGATGCTTATGATAAACCTAGGAAATGTTTCTCTCAGACTGAAGTTAAAGAAGATGTAGAAGAATTATAAGAGTATAAGTTCCAAAAAAGGGATTAATTTAGAATAAGAAACAAAGTGTTACTGAGAAAGGCGAGTATAAGAGAATAATGTTGTGTGAATGGTAAGGAATGTGGGAAAATTTTGAACATTGCATATCGTGTAATATTTAAGTGTTTTACGAGTTTTTTTAAATACATATTACACATTCCTCAGTTCATTTTCTTCTCGATAATTTCCTTATACATAGGTGTAAAAGCAATATAAGTTTCGAAATTAATGTGAAATTTTAACATATTACTGTTTCACTCAAATTAATTGCTTTATTTTAGGCTGAAATGTGTTACTTTTGTAATATTATAAAATACCTAAAATTAAATTGACTGTCGAAAAGACCTCTAAAATACGTTATTTTTAGACATATAAAGCTGATCGCTCTTCTTCTTTTCTATATTTGCTCTCATAATTGTAACAAATCTTAACTAAAATCAAAATTATTTTGCATTCTCTATGTTATCCATATAAAAAACAGGGAAACAGTAAAAGATAAGTAACAAACCAATGTGAATGGGATATTTTCCACTAAGTAAAGATGCCCGAGAAGGCGTGCATAAAGATTCTGTATAGTAGTTGTGCAAAATTATAGAAGAAGCTGCTAAAGCATCAATGTTTGGCGTGGGGATCTGAGGAGAACCGTGGAAACTGACGTCATTCCATCCCTAAGTAGACGGAAACATTATTAAGCATTATTAAAAAATAAAACATTTTATACGAATTAAGTATAGAAATTAAAAGATTTCTTACAATTATTAAATATAAAATAATCAATTAACAGTGCAAAATAATTGGCATTTCTACACTGAAAAGTACAGGAGTAAACAAAATTTGCTATCACACATTCAAAAAGTTAAAAAGGTATAAAAATAGAAAATAATTTATTTCTCAATGGAACTCCTTTATAACAAATTTTATAACTGTATTCAACCTTTACTATTCCTAGAGAAGAATATTTTAGATTACCATGCAGCTACGATTTCAGTTCCCAAAGAGGACGCATGATTCATCTCCAGTCAAAATCTTCTGCAGAAAAAAGGACTTTTCTTTAGGACGCTGCAAAAACATTTGCTTATTAAGAACAGGGAACTATAGCGAATGTTTTAATTTTGGGGGATTTTAGATTGAGTAACCATTGATCTTTTATAACTAATGCATCACTGTATTCAAGATGGCCCCATATACGATTGACGAAGGGAGAAGAGCTCGCAAGGGAGATTTATCAAATACTCTCTTGTACTGACATAAAGCTTTTCTGGCTACTTGTACGCGTGTTTATTTTACGCAAATGACGTTTTCCCATACATTAGTGTTTCTTAACTATAGGTCGTGACCGCAAATGAGGTCGCAAATCGAAATTTTGGGGTCACGAAGATTCAATTCGATAGTCGAATTTAATGAAACTCCATTCATAAAACTTTAAAAAATATTACATTAATTGACATTAATGAGATTAGGCTTATAAAGACATCACTAATTGATATTAATAAGATTAATTACCTGTTATATAAGTGCGAAAGGAATTTATAAAACTATCTAGCGATTCAAACCTAAAACTTGAGTTTTCACAAAAATCCTCGATGAATTCTGGATTGAAGTTAGAACTAGATTTCTAACTATTTCTGAAATGACATTAAATGTTCTTTTCTCGTTCAGCGCCACATATTTTTATAAAATTACTTTTTCAGCTTTAACGCTAATTAAAACAAATATCGTTCAATGTCGAAAAATATTGAAGGTGTTTTATGTCCAGCAATGTCCAATATCGCACCAGCATTTAATTTGTAATGCAGCAGAAAACGATCACATCTGTCTCATTAGAATTTTCTTTACTTTTTGTTTTCTTAATCCTAAAATACTTCTTTTTATGTACATTGTTTACCAAAGAAGTAAATTATTTACGCGAGGATATTTATTTTTTATATCTTTAGTTTATATTTAATATTTGGGGTCGCGAAAAAAGTCTCAGTGATAAAAAGGGGTCGCGACTGAAAATGAAAAAAGTTTAAGAAGCCCTGCCATACATCATTTCATACATGCAATGACTTTCTGCTACTTGCACATCCTTAGCTCTTAAAAGTCTATCTTCACTTCTCAAAGGAAGTATTCATACAAATGGGAGTTATGTTTAATCCTTTACAAACGCGGGGAAATTGATGCTAAAAGATTAATGATAGTATCACTCGCAAAGGCACATCATATGCTTACCAAGCCAATCTCTGTCTTCAATGTACCGAAAACATTGACCTTGCTTTCTGATTCCCCTATGCATAAATTAAGGAAACTTACAAATTTAAATTATGGCTGTTTTTGTTGAATTGCCGAAATTACAGCTAAACATGCCATATTATTGTACTTTAATAAAATTACTCTGGAATTAACTAGAAAAATTGTTCTTATAAGGCTTAATTATTGATACTCTTGTTTTAGTTTCAAGAGTAATGTGGTAATAAAATTACTCTGGAATTAACTAGAAAAATTGTTCTTATAAGGCTTAATTATTGATACTCTTGTTTTAGTTTCAAGAGTAATGTGGTCAGCCTGCATTACACACGATTTCGATCCTCTCTAAATTGAACAAAATACTTCAATAAGAAAATAATTCTTAGTAATAAGTACGGGAATATTTATATTACTTCTCCTAGTCGTTATAAGTTAATATTAATTAAGTTGAATGATAATGTACAAGGAATTTGGTAAATTGCTGACCGTAAGTTATCGAAATAACTTCCATTTTTGAAAAAGAAAACATTTGAGATAAAGACTTGAATTTGTATACAGATCCTTAGAGAAACTTACGGAACATTTCTGGATAAGTTAAAATCATCTTATGTACACATTAAAGATTTTTATACTATCTGAAACAGAACTTACTTAAACATTAGTTGCAATGCATATTGGTTAAGTGAAGAAATATTGACTGAAGTTCAGAAATACATGAAAGATGAATTTTTTTCTGAACTAAATGCTATGCGATCTTCTTGAATAGTAAAAGATTTAGAAATAAAGTCTTTAAACTACATAAGATGCTTAAAATAAGTTTTTTGAAAAAATTAAAGAACAGATTGACTAATTTAAAACATTGAAGGTGTAAGAATTAATGCAATTCATAATATGACAGCTCCTCAGACTCAGGCCTCTAATTAGTCTATCTTTTCTTCAAATGACGGTTTGAGACGAATTATTTGGTTTGTTATAAAATTATACAATCATATTTCATACTGAAGCAATTGCAAAAATTCTTATTAATGCATCAATCATTTAACAGAATATAATAAATAATTCTTAACAGTAAGCTTTACTAGGTTCTTATGTAGATATTTAAATATAAATTTCACATATTGGGGTTGCCTTTGCAGGAAAGGGAGAAAAAGAGAGAGATCTGTAAACCTACAGTCGGGAACTCGATTCTATGTGACTTAAATTACTACGTGAAATTAAAAATTTCCCATTATTCTTTCGCATTTAAAAAAATTAGGGAAAAAATGACATAAAGTTGTCCGTACCTTTTTTTCCTTCTAATTGCCTTTGGTTTACATCTGCAAATCCTGATTGGGTGCAGGGAGCTTACTGAAACTATGCTCGTGTGTGTGTAAAAGATACGACAAAGATGAGAAGAATTAACTTACCCTTTATTTTTCACAGCGTACAACCGTTCCCGTCCTCGGGATACAAAGACCAGCACTTATGGTCTAAAACGCAAAAAATAAGAAGTAAAACTAACTGAACTAAATAAGAACTAAACTTAGATACTTTACAAAGACTAGTAAAGCGAAGATTAGCCTTTTAACTCTACGCATGTAGTGAGCAGAATGCAGGAAACTACAATACGTCTTCAAGTATCAGTGAGAAATAAGTTCTGGCCTTAAAGGTAGACAGGAACTGACTGAAAAGCACGCGCGTGGTAAGGCAGCGAACAAAGTAACCCCAAAATGCCCCGTGCGATATTTTTCTTTTCTTCATTTTATTTTCATCACCACAAAGCAGCAAAACTATGAAGAGATTCCCCAAAAGGAAATTATATTACTGAACTGTAAAGAAGTATTTTGACACTTGAATGGTATTTTATGTGCTAGAAAGGAACTGTTAATAAAACAGAGAAAAGAGCTAATCCTACAGCACATACAGATAACAAACTACGCTACAGATATTGCAAATAGTGGAAACATGTTTCCACTATTTCTACATCTCGGTAATTTTTCACAGATTAAGAATATCATTGTATTTAATCCATGTAGGAAGTGTCTGGCAATCAAAAATAAAGAAAGTGTGTAAAATGAGAAATAAATTACTGCGAAAATTTGGTTAGGCTAAGTTAACTGAATACGGCAAAGCCACGAGGACTATTTGCCTAAGAGTGGGGTGGCTTCGTGGAGGACTGTCTAAGAGAAACCGGTTCATATTCAAGTTACTCACGCGAAAAACCACGAAAACCAACCACGCAGCCAGCCCGAAAAGTCGAACTATCACTATTCAAAGGTCTTAACCACTTGGCCACTGGTAGGGCATAAGAAACTTGGGAGTAAGTTGGAATCCGAAATGTACGAAGGAAATAATTGTATCTTTGTTATATCCAATAAGTTAAATTCCCAATAAATTAGTTAATTTTAATCGTACTGACTGTAACTGACTATTAAACAGAGCTTAAAATTCTGAATTTCAAACAATTAGCAAGCTAACTACATTTTTATTAATGACGGATAAATCTGGAAGGAAAGAACACAATCAACAGTTCCATGCAAATCTTTTAAGACTAATAATAAACAGTCTTACCTACGTACCAGATCGTCAGCTAATACAAAAATTATATGAGGAGCCCCAGTTTTAGTTTCTTCAACTTCTTCAGCACATATCGTAGCAAGTCCCGCTGCTAGAAGCGGCAAAAGGATCATCATACTTAGCTGCTTTGAAAAACTCTATGACCCAGTTTTATGCACTTTTCACATAGAATCTAAGGAGAAAGAAAAAATAGCTGTTTAAAGGAACACTTTTATTTCATACAAAACAACTATATAAATCTAAGGTTTTAGTATTTTCAATAATTACATTTACAGTTACATATAATACTTAAACATAAATAACATATAATACTTAAACAAATAATTACATTTTAATGACTTTTAAAGTCCTATTGCAACTCAATATTTAATAACGATCGATTAATATCTTTATTCATTATTTTTGTATCATTATAATTAAACAAATACATATGTAAAGTAATTTCTTTTACATTTCTTTTAACCATAATTTCATTTTAAAATACTAGCTTATCCAAAAATATAAGTACATTATTGCTACTTTTAAACTGAGAGTCACTGAGATGCAGCACACATGTTGCGCTTATATTAGTTTGTAACTCTATTTTTAATGACGTCTGCAAGCTAATGCATTAGAATCGGATTATTTCGATTATGACAAAGCACTCGAAGTCTTTGTGCTTAAAAGGGAGGCCTTCGTGAAAGTTCTTAAATTCGTTCGTTAAATTGATCGCATTCATGTTACGCATGGAAGAAAAGCTCGAAAATTCCCATGCAGCCAACCCCTTCCCCGAGATTTGAAGCTGTGTCGGACTGCTAGTGTTCAGCGAGCTTACTGCTCAGCTGCTGATAAGCCTAATTTATTAGGAAGTATAATCAATGCTTATTTCAAAGAACTGTATTAAAAAAAGATACGTGATCTGTTGTTTATTAATAAAGAAAATTTATGCTTAAATTGGCATTTTCTCCTTAAAGGTCTCCTTTAAGATATACAAGACTGCTTCAGAATTTATGCTTTGTAAATGAAAAAAAAAAAGTCATAATTTCAGATGATGTGTAATATATATATATATAAAGCTGCAGTTTATAATTGGAATTTATTGTAAAATTTTCTTTTTAATTAAGAAAGCAGCCTAGCCTATGCTCATTTATTGACTTTTGCTTCAATTTCGAGGATTCGTAGATAAATTTCGACAAATAGAATTAAAAAGGGATAAAACGCAGCTGATTCTTAAAGTATCCATTAAATACCTACTAGCAATTTTACGTAATACCTAACTGACTTTAACATCGACAGTAAAATATTTATGTAAAGATTACAGTGAATTCTGGCCAAAATCTTTAATTTTTAGAGTAAGAATTTGATGATGTTTACTAACTAAAGATGCACATTTTATACAGCTTAATTATTTTAAGAGATATCCTTAAAATTTATTCCAGTCATTTAATAAATGCAAAATTTCACTCTATCTTTCTTGAAATAATTTCCACTGTAATTCATATCATTTGAAATGAAGAAATGGTTTGCAAGCTTTTTTTTATGCAGCTACAGAAACTATGTTCTTCATAAACTTTAAAAAAATTGTCTATTTAATGACTTGCTCTACTGACATGTACAATACAGAGATAAAGATATCAACAGGGATATAGATATCAAATAATGAAGACAAATTATAACAAAACAAATTAATGCTAAGCACTATCTCGTATAATAATATCTTATAAATGTAGTAATTAATAAATAGTTTCGCTTTTTTCGGTTAGATTCTTTAAATAAACTAAATTATAAATATGAATTTATCTGACGTTTTGGCTTTCTTTTGTGAACCAAACTGCTTTATGCCTTTCAGGATTTAATCTTTTTCAACATTAAAACATATCCGTTCCAATTACAAGACTTTCTTTGTAACACTTTCTTCTTTGAAGTAAATCAATTCCATATATTTAAAATTAAGTACCGATGATATTTTAACACATATAAAAAACAGCAACTTTTACTATATAATTAATAATTGTATAATTATTTAGTAAAAGTTTTGATCAAACCAGATCAACGAATTTTATTTCTTATAATTCATTTGTATTAACAATTTTAAACAATCAGAATTAAATTAAACTAATTCATCATAAATCAGAATTGGCACTAATGCTTGAAATAAAGATATATATATTATTATTTACAACATACAGATTACACTTGATAACTTTCTTTACAATTCATTTAGGTTTAGTTAGCGGAAAAAAAATAAAAAAAAGCTCACTTCTAAAGAAGAAATGTTCAAAATACATTTATCTCCAAGGCATCGTTATTTAAATCAGTCTCATTAAGATTTTTTTACGTCATTCCCATTCGATACTTAGCCATTATAAATAAGCCGCAAAATTCTCAGTTGGCTTTGATCCTTAGCGCTGAGAAACACACTGTTCCTAACTATCACTAGACATTAAAGGCACCACAAAGATTAAAACAGAATATACGATTATTCTGCCAGTAATTCAAGATCTTCTGAAAGAAAGATGCGAGGTGGGGAGAATAGGAACATTCTCTTCTTAATGCGATGACCTTGTAAACCTGTTGTAAAATCAGCGCGAGCCATAACTTCGTGAGCAACCGAAGACAATGCGACAAGGTGGTATATTGTCCAGCAGATGTATGCTTTCTTTAAAAATATATAGAGAAATATTATGCTGACGTGCACTTTTTATGACTCATTTGGCTGCATACAAGAATGCAGAATTTGACAAAAGATGGCTGAAACAGTGGTACTTTATATTTACGATGTAACTCATTATTTTATTTTGCCATAATGAAAAATATGCTGAGTATACTGTAGCAATATATATTTGTTCCCAGCTTTTAATTTACTCGCTTGAGCGATGGAACTTAAAGTAGCTAATATTCTGTATAGGGAGTTGAGTGCGATTCGAAAAGATAGTCAAAGCCATTGCTCAAAATTAAAATTTAATCAGTCAGTATAGTACCACACTTTTAAAGCATTAAATTAAATGTCATTTTTCTTTTTGCTAGGTAACTATTAGGTGGCTTAGACTGTACATACTAGCACTATTTTTGTAAGGAAGATACCATAATTAATAATACCCCCCGGAAAAAATATCCCGAAAATGCAAGATAATTTTTCTTCGAACAAACGAAAATTCACAGAATAGTAAAGATTATTCTAAATTTTGAAACTTTTCAGCAATATGGCACTGAATATCTAATACGTACAAGCGAATGTGCATTCAATTGTGCAAATTTAAGAGCATTTTCTAGCAGAAATCTTTTTTTCATCCTCTCGGAAATTATTCAGTACACGTATGAACAAACGAACGTATGAAATAAAACAGACGGCCGAGTAAATACCGAGTTTATTATGGAAGAAATTAATTATGGAAGAAATTAATTACTGCCCTTATGCCCTGCCTTACTACATTAGAAAAATATTGGTAGGAAAATACACAGTTGTATTTTTCATTTGTTAGTTAATTGATTTTTACTTATTTTAGTCATTTCTTTTATTAACATTTCGTTTATTATGAAAGAATATCTGCTTATAAATTACTTTCTATCCAATCAACGATTGGAGTATTAAAAGTGTTACTTTACTGATAAATCCTCTACAAAGCTATAATAATGCCAACAATACTGAATAAACTCTTCTACTTGAAAACTGCTAATATATTGTATTTAACGATGAAAACTGGGTAAGAAAACTTAGAGTTTTCAGCCAGATAATTATCCCTACCCAAGTCTGCATACGAATGCTTTTTGCATCACGTTTGTACCTGCTAGTAAGACCCAGATTCTCTAACGAATCGAATAAATGAAAACATAAAACTTGCTACAGCATCATTTGTATGGGAATGAGACCGGGAGAATTAAATGGAAGAAAATAAATCCAATTTTAAAGTTAACATATAATTTCAGACTTAGCAATACGATTACACGAAACAAAATAACGAGCAAATTAAATTAAATAAAGATACTGCACGATAACTCATCTTCCCATCGATCAATAACTTCTTCGTAGAATCGCTTTGTCCTGAAAATAAGTATGTGTACTTAGTCATCTTGTGCCCACCAACTGCATCTGAGAAGTCCCTGTGACAGTCGTTCCCCCTCCTGCAGCTGAGACGTCCCTGTGACAGTCGTTCCCACTCCTGCAGCAAGGCAGTTTTCAACTCCGATATGGTTCTCGGAAGGAGATGGCGAAATGAATTTGTCCTCCCAAGAGAATCCCAGACATACTCTAGAGGGTTACGGTAAGAAGATCTGGCTGGCCAATCTGTGCCACGAATATCCTTACTTTCTACATAATCGTCGATCAGCTAAGCCCTACGTGGACAAATGTGGTAGTCCATGAACAGGAACCAAAGACGAACTGCGCTTATGAAAATTCGAATACAGGATTGTAAAATCTCCTCTCTATATCTCATAGCAGTCAGGGAGCCTTTATCAAACATATGTAGGGGTTTGTGGCAGTCCAACATTATGCCTGCCCAAACCATTACAGCTCCGCCATCATAATGATCCTTTCCTTTGATGAGAGAGGGGCGGTATAGTGTTCTAGGTTCTCTCCAGATACAGGTACGCCGAGCATCACTGTCCAGGCTGAATCTAGACTCATCTGTAAAACGTATGGTGCTCCATGCTGGAATCTGGTCCAAGGTGCATGTTGTCTGTATCATGCTAAACGCGTTCTCTTGGGTGCTGCAGTGGCTCTTTTGTCTTACAGCCCTATCTCATAAAGCCTTTGGGCAACTGTAAACCGTGGAAAACTCTGGTTCGAGTGGCAGCATAGAGCTTACGTGAGAGCTGTGAAGCGGTAGCAGTTCTGAGTGGCAGCTCTGAAAGTGCTAAATAACGATCCTTATTCGTCGTTGTGGATCTTGGTCGAACTTGTCCAGGTCTTCTCAATATGGATCCAGCGTCCAGAAACTGTTTCTACAAATTGCAGACGTCACTGGGCATTACATTGAGCTCTGTACCTGTCTCTCCTTGTGATTTGTCTGTCTCCAGTCTATCGACAATTCTCCATCTCATTTCGTCACCCATACGATCGTGGCTGCTCATTTTACTTGATACCTTTTAAAATTTTACCAACTCTTGCGAGAAAAAGGACGAATGTAATAAGGAGTAAGAGAGCACAAATCTCCGAAAACTTCTCATGCATTTAATATCCCCTCCACAATCACAGCTCTGTAGGCACGCATGTGTACGCTTACGTATATTCGATTCTGAATACTTGCATATTTCTTAGGCGGCATAATTAGAAGCTTTCGTTCAGTACCTTTCGTAAAAATAGACATGATTTGCAAATTCTCTTAATTTTACACACGAATGTACTTATCTTAAGGAAGGGCATTCATTATAATGATGACTTACAGTTCAACATAGAGAGAATAGTTTTCCTAACTCATACATGGAGATATCAATCTTGTAATCTGATTGTATCCTGAGATATGAATTTAATAATAAAATTTTCAAATTTAGAGATATCAGAACTTTAGCACATAGCACTTCACGAGCTGATTTCAAGAAAACACTTATAACTTGAGAAGTGGAAATCCACAGAGGAACGCTTTATATAGGCATGTTAAGCAAGCTTGTGCACACGAGATGCATTTAAATTATAACAAAGAATCGTTAAATTACATTAAAATATAGTCTTCGAATTCGGAGCCGGTCTAAGACACGGCACGCTGCTCGATAGTGAACCAACCAGGTGCACAGCTTGCCATCTTATGGTGTTAACGACGTATAAACCCGTATTATGCTCGCATGTAACAACTTAAGACAGGAAATTCTGCAGTACATCCAACAAGAAGCTTTAGCCAGAATACATATGTGTATTTCTGCGGAGTGTGAACACATCGATCCTGCTTAAATATTTGTACGAAGACTTCATAAGGCTAGATCATTATTTACCGATTTATTTTTCATAATGCTCTAATGATGTAAAAATTTCTTACTATAATAAACTGCACTGTGTTTCCAAGAGTTAATTTCATTAGTAAATTTGCTTCCATCTTATAATGACTTCAACGCGAATTGTGACATATTTATGCCGGTGATCGGATGCCAAAGAATCTGCAATTCAGAGCTTCTCTTCAAGTTATTGATGGGTGTAAGGTCTCATTCCATACTAAATCAGTGACTTGCAAAAGTTACCTATTGCTTTCTTCGTTAGTTTTCATATTATTGACGATAAAATCGCTGATTTCTAGTATGACTAAGACGTTGCTTTCGATCTTGTATGATAATGCAAAACATTTTGTTGTAAATAGACGCAAATTTCCTGAAACCAGCGTTTTGCATTTAAAATTTATTTCGATGATTCAGGACTTTTGCATTGTGCGTTGCAGATTTATATTTTTAACTTTACAATTTTTTACAATGTTTGAGTACTTCATTATTATTTTCGTACAGCCTTATAAAATTGTTTGGTGTGTGTATTTAATTATGGCAAAGCACACGAGGGCTATCTGCCTAAGGGGAGGGATGCCTTTCGTGGAGGACTTTCTAAGGGAAACTGGCTCGTATACACGCTACACATGGGGAAAACCACGAAAACGCCCATGCAGCCAGCCCGTTCATGGGATTCGAACCTCGGACCGAACTACCAGTGTTCAGCGACTTTACCGCTCGGCCACTGGTGGGCCCCTATAAAATTGCCCTATAAATTGTTTGAAATAATGATAAAATTGTTTGAAATAATAATAATAATTTTATGGTTTCTTTATATTACACTCATGTCCATAAATTAAGGATAATTCGGAGTCACACGGAAATCGAACTCTAAAATAAATATATCACCTGTAAAATCACTACACACATCTTCAAGAATCATATGCAAATCTCGGGAAGTAACCAGATGACACCGATGGTACGTCACAATGACGAGAGTGTAAGAGAGTGATATATAAGGAATACAGGCAAAGAAGTAAAATTGTTCGCAGGCACTTTATAAGCATTTCAGTGAATTAACCGAATAGTTATGACACAAAGGACGCATATGGATGATTTTTTACGTGGTAGAATTATCGGCCGTCTGGAATGTGGGCGTACCCAACTGGAAGTATCAGACGAACTTGGAATTGCCCAGAGTGTCATTTCCAGGCTTTGGCAACGCTTCCAAGATGATCGTAATGTGAGTAGACGTTACAGCACAGGTCGCCCCAGAGTTACAACGCGGAATGAGGACCGGTATTTGGCAGTTACTGCCAAAAGAAACAGGCAGAGCTCAGCCTCAGACCTGTCTCGTCAGCTCTCTTCTGCCATTGGTACGATAATCTCAAGGCGGACCGTGTACAGACGCTTAGGGCAGATTGGTCTATATGCTCGTAGACCTGTCAGATGCGTTCCACTTACTGCAACTCACTGTCGCCTGCGGTTAGTCTGGAGTAGACAGCATGCATTGTGTACACCGCAACAGTGGGCTTGTGTGATGTTTTTCGACGAGTCCAAGTTTAGCTTGCAGTCTGATTCTCGCCGGACTTTCATATGGAGAGCAGAGCTCTAGGTACCCGTTACCACCAAGAAAACACCATTGAACGACACCGTTACGGTGGTGGAGGAGTGCTCGTTTGTGGT